CATGGCCAGATGGACTGAAAGTAAACCTAAGTGCTGGTCCCTTTGGGGAAGAGGGTCGGTCCTCAGCAGGCCAGACCCCGGCCCTCTGCCCTCCTCCCTCCTTGGAAGCATGCATCTGTTTAGCTAACCAAGTCCCCTATTTGTGGGCAAGTTGCCTGCAATATAATGGTGGGTTGCTTTTGCTTTTATTCTTTTTAAATTGTGATAACACTGTATCTCACAATTTAGAAAACCTCAATGAGAATTTCTAATTTGCATGATTGCTGAATTTCATCTAAAGTAAGATATGCAATTTAAGCCGAGTGTGTCATGTGGTATTTTTGTCTATAGAGTCTTAAGTCAATGTTTAGTGCAGTGTGCACACATTTTCTGCAAAACTGCTCATTTACTGGGTTAACCACTGAGCAAAAATAATACCTGTTTCCTGGAGTAACAGGAAAGCTGTTTATCTTCCACGTGGGAACTCTTCCAGGGCGTCTAGAGAGGATGTTTCAAGAGGCTCTTAACCCAGCTAACAGCAAACGGCACACGGAGTTAACACAGGAGCACCGGCTTTGTTTAGTGGACGGGTTTGTTCATTTAACGTGTGAGGAGCTGAAACCTAAAGATGGGAAGTGACCTGCCCTAGGTCATGGCAATACCTCAAGGCAGGGGCCGTGTGACAGGGACAGGTCAGTGGTGGATCAGAGAGGGACCTGGAGGGCAGGTGCCTGCTGCATGGCCCTGTGCTCTGTGACAGGAGTATTTTATGTTTTATTTAAATAGTGAAGTTCAGAAACTAATACAAAACCCATTGTATTAAACTGCTTTAGCAAAGTTCTGGGTTCACCAGGCATTCAGAAAATATTAGCTTCTCCACTTATTTTTTGGGTGTTGTACTATATTTAAAGACACTCAGGCTGTATACAACCATGCAGCCCCGGGGGGGAAGGTCAGTGCTCCAGCGCTCACTGCGTTCCTGCCTCTGGCCATGCGTGACTCGTCCCCACTCGGACCCTGGCTTACAGACGAGGCTGCCCTAGCGCAGGGCGGAGCGTCGGCTGCGCACCAGCCCCTCGGCGCACGCGCAGCTGTGTGTTTTCGCTTCACTGCCTTCCACCTCTAGTTGTGTGCAGACAGTATCTTGTCCCAGGTTTAACCTCTTGAAAATATGGGAAAGCCACACTTATTTAATCAGTTCACCTCACAACTCATACCTTACAACCGCTCCCCTTTTCCTGTCACAAAAAAGTAAACAGTCTCTTCACTTCTGCATGTTGTTGTTGTTTTAAGTTGGTTTTTTTATACTCACCCAAGCATATTTTTTCCATTGCTTTTCAGAGAGAGTGGAAGGGGGGGAGAGAGAGAGAAACGTCGATGTGAGAGAAGCACATTGATTGGTTGCCTCCCATATGCACCCCTGCGGGGCCAGGAATAGAGCCTGCAACCCAGGTACATGCCTTTGCCTGGAATCGAGCCTGAGACCCTCTGTCTGCGGGCCGGCCCTCTAACCACTGAGCCACACCAGCTAGGGCTCTGCGTTTTGGTTTTTGAAATTGTTCTACACAAAACAACTATCCGCTCATTCCACTCCCATCCAGGTAGTGACACCTTTTGATAATGGGACTTTTAAAGATATATGTCTTTATTGATTTCAGAGAGAGGAAGGGAAAGGGAGAGGGAGAGAGAAACATCTGTGATGACAGAGTCATTGATCGGCTGCCTCCTGCGCGCCCCCCACTGGGGATCGAGCCCACAGCCCGGGCATGTGCCCTGACCGGGAATCGAGCCTCGGTCTCCTGGATCCTAGGCCGACGCTCAACCGCTGAGCCACTCTGGCCAGGCGATAATGGGGCCTTTTTAATGAAATGCTCAAACGCTTACCCAACCTTCTTTTGTAAACTTTTGGGATAAGTGATTAGTGTCGGCTTTTACGTGAACGCTTTCCCATCAGCCCCCAGGTGGAACCTGAGCCTCTGCTTCTCTCATTCCCTCTCCTTTGAAGAAAAGACTGCTTTTAGTTTACAGTTCTACACTCAGCTTTCTTATTAATTGTTCATTCTGCAACTGCATTATTTGAGTCTGATTTTTGCTCGTCTGTGAGCTGAAGCACCTGCGTGTAGTCATTTGCATGAGTTCTGCCTGGATTGGTTGTCCAGGGACGAAAGAATTAAGTTCCCCTCCACATTAGCCGTCTCTCCCGTTATTAGACATAACACGGGCAGCTTCTCATATCTCGCCCTTTCACTGCTGCACTCTTTCACTTATTCAAGTTATCACCTCCACCCAGGGCCAGGATTGGGGAACACAGGGTCCCTGCCACTGTGGCCCTCAGATGGCTCCTTCCCCGTCACCAGGGAAGTGGTTCTGGGCCCGTGAAACCCTCGTGGGGCATCGGGGCAGTTGCCATGGCTTTGCTGCCTGTTTCCTCTGCTCCTAGCAGGGCAGCAGCCTTCAGTAGGAGGGGGACACACGTGGCAGGAAAGGAGCACGGATGGGAGACTGGAGTAAACGAGGGAAGAGTTTCACTAGGAGCAGCCGGTTGCAGAGACAGAAAGTGATCAGACGCACTGAGACACTGTTCCAGCCAAGAAGGTAGCCCTTCATCCACTGGTCAGAGCACCCCAGTGGGGCGCTCCGGGTGACCCCGAGGCACGCATGCAGAGGCGGGAGCCGTCCAAGTGAACAGGTGCAAACGCGCAGCCGGGCGCGAGCGGCACCGCCGAGGGCTGTCGGCAGGTGCAGACAGTGCTGAGGCCTGACGGGGTCAGGGCGACCCCTCAGGGCCTGGTCCCTCTCTGTCCGCCGGCGTTGAGAGTGACCAAAGGATGAGCAAAATTTAGAGACGGTCAGAAGGGTCGCAGTGAGCTCTGCAGCAGCGCTGGTTGAAACTTAAGCAGCTTTCTCCAGTATTCGTAAAGTCACCGTAACTATGGTCAAATCGAATAAAACGGAAAGGAAGCCTTTATGTTTGTAAGTGTTAACTAGTTCTCCCATGCTTTTCAGCAACAGTAAAAAAAAAATTGTTTTTGAGAATTTATACCTAAATTTATGCTTAGTGGTGAGAAAAGCAGCTGACACTTTCTCGCCGTGTTTTGATAAAGACCAGAAACGCCCACATTCGGCCCCGAGCTGGGTCCTTCCCCGGCTGGCCTGCATGCGGGTGGGGCCGTGGGCTCCTCCGGCCCTGTGCTCCAGCAGCCGGGCTCCTGTCGAATCGCATGCTGGACGAGCTGTGTTCCGCTGTGGAGAGGGTGCTCACCCCCCTTCCTCACTTACCTAAAGATAACACGAATGTGCAGTGTTCGTGTCCCACAATTACTTGGACTGAATGCTTTCCTGCGCCTTGGATACAGTCGGCACAGCGCCCGGGGGACCCGCAGGGTCGGCGGAGCCCTGACGCCCCGTAGGCTGCTCTGCTCTCCCTGCTCTGTACGGAAACTGGCAGGTGCAGGGAGAGCTGCGAGCGGCAGCGACACGGGCGCGGGCGCTGTGCGCCGTCCCTGTGCACGGCTCTGCTGCCTGGCTTCTCCCGGGCGAAGCTGGCCGGGCGTGTGACTGACAGCCACCGCCTGCACCTCGCCTCCCCGTCACAGACCCTCCTCCTGACAGACCGAGTCGGCTTGCGCTCTGCTCTGCCGCGCACCACGAGCCTGCTAGAAAAGGAGCGAAAGTAACAGATGCCTTTACCTCTCTAAGCTATTAGCTGTGATTTTCCACATTCGCGCTACTGTTGTGTGTGGACAGTCACGACGCCCGGACGCTGCCTTCAGCTGGAGCACAGGGCTTCCCGTGTCGTAACCGACAGGGACTGTCACCTGCTTCCCCGCCACCCGCCTCCGCTCCGGTGTGGGTGTGGTCTTGGTAGGGACCTGGGCATCTTTTTTAGTCATAGATTATATTAAAATGAGCTGGAAAAGATGTAGCTTTGAAAAGTCGAGTGGAATTAACTTATAACCACTGCTCCATCCTGACTTGACTTCACTGTGTGGATTTTTCAAGACACACAGAAGGAAGATCTGTAACAAAAGGAGACGACTCTGTCTTTATATAATTTCAGTCCATTTTCTGTGTCATGTGGATATACTTTTTAATTCACTGTTTATATCTAATGATCATTGTCAACAAAAGCGAGCAGAAATCATCTTAGGTTACAGATAAAAATAATACAAAAATTAAAACAACAGCACAAGAGAACTCACGGCATTGCTTTAAAGAAAAATAACTTTCAAGGACAATTTTCCCCACCATGCATATAAATAACAGACGTTTTGAGAACAAAGCATTATGGACAGAGATGAACGTGGCAGGACTTGTGTACCTGCCCCAGTCTTGCAGACACGTCTAATCTCCACTCTGCCTTCCAGCTTCCTGGTCAGTTTCATGGTGGACGCCCGCGGGGGCGCCATGCGGGGCTGCAGACACCACGGGCTCAGGATCATCATCCCACCCCGGAAGTGCACGGCCCCCACGCGGGTCACCTGCCGCCTGGTGAAACGCCACCGCCTGGCGACCATGCCCCCGATGGTGGAAGGAGAAGGCCTGGCCAGCCGCCTGATCGAAGTCGGACCCTCTGGCGCTCAATTCCTTGGGTAAGGGTCTCTGATAAGCCTCCACTCAGTCACCGGCGAGCTCGCGTCGCCTGACGCCACTAGGAGGGAGTGCGGAAAGGTAAGTCCAACGGCTGGACGACTCTGCCCTAAACATTGGAAGTAGCGCCGGCTGCTGGACTCCCCTTCCACGCCTCTGCTTTGAAGGCATAAGGAGCCGGGCAGCGGGCTGAGCTTCGTCTCTTTCTGGGTGGGCAGCAGCTGCTGGGCTCCAGGGTGACTAACTGCTTCAGCCCAGTGTGGGCATGACTTTCCTCTGAGACTTACGTGGCAGAGTCATGAGAAAAGCTACTCCTCTGTTCCAAACACGAACGTAGCCTCCAGCGTTAGCGACGGGCCCACGTCGCCTGGGAAGGAGAGTTGCCTTAGGCAGCCAAACATTCAGTCTGTGCCGTTTGTCTTCTGTTATCAAAACTGCTATCTTGAGTCTTAAAATGACACTGGCAGCCTGTTTGATCGTGGTTTTCATTAAGACGATAAAATCCAGGCTCACGGCCACCTGGGCAATTTTGGGCAGAAATGAGCATTTCTTCTTTCTTCCGTTTGCTTGAATGGCTGCTGCTGCATCAGTAGTATTTCAACATGCAAAGAAATACGTAGCCCCCGCTGAAAACTGACAAAAGGATGAAGTTTTGCAGGGGGACGGGTTTCAAAATAATTTGAAATCAATCGTATTTAAGTCTTGCCAGAGCAAGTCTTTGTGCTCAGAAACGGGGACAGCACCCTGGTACTCGTGAGTCTTGTCCTGCTGGCATCACACTGGGAGCGATTCCTGCTCTAGAACTAGGACTCGTTCTAAAGCCTTATAACTTGGAGGAAACTGTCCACAGGTTGCTCCAAATGCGTCCACCCTGGAAGGGGCATGTCTGTGTTCCCAGTTCTCAACGCCACCTCCCATGTCCCTCAGACAGACCAGAGATGGAGGAGGAGCCCGTGACCCCTTCCCCTCCCCCCCCCTCACGCTCAGGTCGCCTCCACATCTGTGCGGAATGTGCATGGAAACGTCTGGGCCCTGCAGAGCCCGAGTTTTCATCCCATTCCCGACACCTCTGCCTTCCCTGCGGAGCACACTTTTCCGCTCTGGGCCGTGCCCTAGCGGAACTCCCTAGGGACAGACCCGCCCCCACGCGCTCTGGCCCCGACCCTCCATTGAGCACTCTGGGTGTCCGGGCCTTGCTCTCTGTGACCAATGGAGGGGGCGGAGCCAAAGCCAACCTCGCCCGTCGATGGGCGGGCGGCGCTGGGGTCGGTGGAACCACGCCTGAAGCTCACTTGTGTTCTTTCTTTCACTGCTGCTTTGGATGTACTCAGTAAACTCCACCTGCCAACGGCTCCCCCCCCACTTAATGAGGGAGAAAGTTTGGTCAGCCGCATCCTTCAGCTGGGGCCTCCTGGAACCAAGTTCCTTGGGTAGGAGTGACTTACAACAGGCCGATGGCTGCTGGGCCATTCTCCTTCTGCGCTATGATTTCTCCTTTTGTCATTGTGCCCATGACACGTCCCTCTCTATGATTTGTATTCTGTATAAACTATCCTTAGTGGACCATTTCTGACCCTCGTGGTATGTGATTTTTGTTTTCAAGTGATGTTTTTATACCTTTTCCCTTAAAGTGCTGTGACCTTCATTTTCGTTTAAAGCATGAGATCTGCCTAGTTGTACCATGTGCTAGTTACGATGTTGTTATGGTAACTTTGGAGTCTGTATCAAAGCAACCTGGACTGAAACCCAAGGCCTCCATGAGCTCTGAGAGTGACGGCGACCTGAGAAGCGCAGGCCACACGTGCTCCGGACCTGAGTCTAGTGGGCATTGCACACGGCTGCCTGCGGGGCTCAGCGGGAGCGCCCTGTGCAATGCCGATCGTGTCCTCGGTGCAGGGAGCCTCCGCAGATCCCTGAGCGCATGTCTCTGTAGTCCCCGCAGTCACCTTCCCTAACATCTCATTCACAACACGTAAGATCCCGCGCACCCGAGCCATCTCCCTCTCACCCTTGTGTCACATCGCACCTCGTAGAGGACGTCTTAGGAGACCGGTGCACATCACAGACATGCATGCCCGTTTCTTTATGTTCATCAGAGGAGAAGTTCCAGATGCCACATGCACTCACAGGGAACACCACGGGGCTCCAGGTGGCAGCGTGTCCCGGGGACAGGTGCCCCTGAGGTGGAGTGCTACAGTGCAGCCATCTGCTGGCTGGCGTCCCTGTCCCCAGAAAGAGAAGAATCCAGGTCACTTTGCAACAGACAGTTATGGTGCGTGTCATGCTGGGGTTGGCTGCTGTCCACACTGAGTGTTCTGCTTGCTGTCAGGCCTGTGATCGTGGAGATCCCCCACTTCGCCGCCCTGCGAGGGAAGGAGAGGGAGCTGGTGGTGCTGCGCAGTGAGAATGGGGACAGCTGGAAGGAGCACTGCTGTGAGCACACCGAGGACGAGCTCAATGAGATCCTCAATGGCATGGACGAAGGTACTCTGTGGGGCTTTGGAAGAGCTCTGGGGGGGGGCATGAAGACGAAGCACTTCTTTCTTAGAACCTAGGGCATGTATGTGACACGTGTGCATGCCCACAGCTGTGTGCACGCATGTACACACATGTACATATATGCTTGTGTGTGCAGGCACACACGCCTATGTGTGCCTGCATGCCTGCAGCATGCGTGTATGCATGTGCTTGCATGCGCATGTGTGCACACACGTGTCTCTGTTGCTCTGGCACAGCGGTGCCTGGTGTGTTCCAGTGGTGGTGAGTCAGATGCACAGCATACTTGCCTGGCCTTACTCCTGTTGTTATTCAGGAAAATACAACCCAGATCCCAGCGACCCAGTTAGTCCAAATGCTCTGCACTTTCAGCCAGTCTGATTTTCTGTATTGCCCTATGTATTTGCACAAATGCAGTTTGTAAAAAGCCTGTGATCCCATTGTGCTGATGGTGGATGACATGTTGGGTGAGTTAATGGTTTCAGGGGAATTGAAACGCTGGCTTCATGATCATCCATGCTCTTAGGCCCTTTTTTATGTGCAGTGACTGCCTCAGAGGTTTCAGTCACCTCTGGAGTGAACTGGAAACACAGTCCTGGCAGGAGAGAGTCCATTCCTGCACAGTCCCCTGGGAACTAAGAGGCCAGTTTCTTCTTACAACCACAGTAACTGGTTCTTGAGCTAACTTTGCAACTGGCAAAGAACCAGCCTCCAGGACCCCTTTCCTCTGAACAAACCAGGGATAGAGCAGACGGGGCATTGCAGCTCTGCCCCCCTCCTCGGGCAGCCCTGCTGAGGGACCGGGTGCTGGGGGGTAAGCTGCTCTGGTGCTGGGTGCCCTTGCCTTTGAGGAGCCGCTGACCTGGGCGGTGCCTTGCTGTCATCACAGTGCTGGACAGCGCTGAGGACCTGGACCGCAAGCGCATCTGCCGCATCGTCACGCGTGACTTCCCGCAGTACTTCGCGGTGGTGTCGCGAGTCAAGCAGGACAGTCACTTGATCGGGCCCGAGGGCGGTGTGCTGAGCAGCACGGTGGTGCCACAGGTGCAGGCGGTGTTCCCTGAGGGCGCGCTGACCAAGCGGATCCGCGTGGGCCTGCAGGTGCGTGGCGTGGGCGTGGCCCCTGGGGGAGGGGCAGCCGTGGGACTGAGACATGCGGACAGGAGGGCAGGGGCTGCCGTGCACACGGTAGATCTCTTACACGAGGGCAGAGCAGCTGCCACCGCGGTTCTGTGCTGGGAACCACCACGCGGATGGATGAGACGGAAAGCAGTGCGTTGAGAGCTGTTTGCTGTGAAACGTGACGATCATGCTTGCTGTGTGTTTTTCTTGGAAAAGGCTCAGCCTATGCATGGTGAGCTGGTTAAGAAGGTCCTCGGGAACAAAGCTACCTTCAGCCCAATCGTCACTTTGGAACCCAGAAGAAGAAAATTCCACAAGCCCATTACCATGACCATCCCTGTCCCCAAAGCTGCCAGCGACGTCATGTTGAACGGTTTCGGGGGAGATGCTCCAAGCTTGAGGCTACTCTGCAGCATAACAGGTGAGGCTCCCGTGCGGATGTGAGTAGAAAGCTCTGGGAGATGAAACTTAGACGCCTGCAGGCTCCGTGCGTTAGGCAGGAAAACATCCTAAGTGGGCGCTGAAGGTGGCAGGAGGTGAGTTGACACTTGCTGATACGGCCGCGTGCCCCTGGGAGCTCGGCGTCCTCACTTCTGTCTGTGCAGCAGCCCTGTGACGACACGTAGCCCCGTTCTACTGGAAAGGAGACAAGGCTCAGACGTGTTGTGACTGGCCCGAGATCATACCACCGATATTTGCAGAGTCGGGGGCCAAACCCAAGCCGTGTGCCTGTCAGCCGTCGCCGAAGAGGTCACCTTATACCTGTTCAAAAATAATTACCATCCTGAATAATTATACCCAGTAGTCACACATGACCTCTGTCTAGGAATTGGTCATATCTTTATCACTGATCTTTGAAACTAACTTTGGAAAAACAAAGTAAAGGTTTGTCAAGAGTTAACTGAATTTGGTCTTTTCCGTTGGAAGTATTTAGACAACCAGCAAACTCCAGAAAGACACTCCCAGAGTGTTAGTGTCCCACCCCCCGCGGCTGACCCTTCCCTGTGTCACAGTGACCGCGAGCTGCTGGCGCTCGCACCTGCTGCCGTCAGCGGGGTGACCCCGGCCTGCTGTCCAGGCGTCGCCAGACATTTTCACTTCTTCCTGTTGGCACCCAGGGTCCCCCTGACTTTGTTCTCCCTCGAATCCTCCCTTCTTATTAAGGTTTCTTCTGTATTTATGATAGCAAGCCATTGAGACCACCCCATGAGTTTAACACAATACAAAATCTACCACGTGAGCGGACGGGAGTGGGGCGTCTCGCTTCAGGCACTGCCTCGTCTGCTCCACTCCTGGCCGTTCCCGAGCTCCGGGGTCTTTCCCGCACGTGGTCCATGTGTGTATGATTAGCTTTTCTCTCACGTGAGACGTGGGGCATGGAGGTGAAGCAGGTAAGATTTAACGTGCAGGCGTGCCCTGCCCTGCCAGTGCTCGGGCCAGGGCCCCACCTGGCCGAGAGGCCGTCTCCCCGAGAGGCCGCCTCAGCCTTCATCCCTCTGTCCAACCGCCTACATGTTCATTGAGCTCTTAATGTTTTCCAGCTACTTTTTGCCAACCTTCAATTGCAAATTGAGAGAAAATTTTATTTTACAAAAATGATCGTATAAAGTATAACGCTCGGGAACAAAAACAAAAAAAATCTGAATTTTTCTTGTTTTCACAAATCCTTCAGCTCCTTGGTCAGTCAAAGGATCTTTTAAAATCATCAGTGTATACAATTCAAATTTGTCTTCAGGGCGTAGCAATTACAATAAAAGCCTCAATGTCAGGCTTTTATTACTAGAACACCTAGTACTTTGAAGCAGATATTCAAGCACCTCCCTTAAAGCCGTTCCTGGGGAGGGGTGTCAGTTGCTGGTCCCGTGTCGCCTTCTGTGGTGTAGCGTGTCATTGGGGAGCGCTGGGACTTCGCTGTGAGCACAGCCAGACCACGGAGACTAACTTTACAATTCAGAGTCTGAAGCTTTGCCTGATTTTTTCAACAATCATATCATTTCAGGCGGGACCACTCCTGCTCAGTGGGAAGACATCACAGGAACTACACCACTGACGTTTGTCAACGAGTGTGTGTCATTCACCACCAACGTGTCTGCCAGGTACCGCCCTGCAGCCTGAGGCCACACCGCCCCTCCTGGCGTTTGCTTTGTTCTGTTCCTTATGTTCTTTAGAAGTGATTTTTGGGGGGTTTGGTTTTGAATACGGGCTGCATTAACCTTCATATTCTAAACAAATGGAATAGTGATGATACAGGAACAAAGTTCAGCATCAGATTGAAATCTACAGAAAATGAGCGAATGCCAGCTCTGGCTGTGGGACCCTGCCTCTCACTTTAGGGCCACGGCCGATTTCCCGGGCCCAGAGGCCCAGGGATGATGAATCCCTGCTGCCGGCAGCATAGCATGGACTGCCTTCCCGCAGAATAGCAGTGGGGCTGCCGTGTCCGCGGGACAGTCCCGAGGTTTTAGTGACTCCCACATGCCCCGGCACATCTCCGTGTCTCATCTTCACAGCGCTGGCTCTGTCTGGTCTTACTTCGTGGCGCTCACTAACTCAATTTATTATTAGTTCCCCTGTGTGCGATCTGTGAGGGAATGCTGGGCACTTTCATATGCATTTGAGTTATCACTACAGTGACTTGGTGGTGTGTCCATTTTACAGGTGGGAAAACTGATGCTGAGAGGGTTAAAACTTAAATTCCTGTTCAGGGGTAGAGGAGAAGGGCACCCATGGACAGGTCAGGGACACAGCAGCTGCAGCTGGGGTGGTTCCAGCCACCAGCGTCTGTGCCCCCCGTCTCCACCCCACATCTTTACTCTAATGCCAGAGATGACCAGTGCTGAGGGAGAGGGTCACCACCTCAGGTGGTCAGAGAGGGAGCCAGAGGGGAGGTGCCTCCTGAGATAAGCAGGAGCCTGACAGGCAGGAGACGGGACCACGGATGAGACACCACAGGGTCCTGGGAGAGCAGCCGCCACCCGAGGGTCTTAGGTCAGAGCCAGGGCCGCGGCGCAGGTGGTGGCAGTGTTCACGGAGGCCTGCTTGGGAGACACGTGTCCCCGGTGACAGAGTTCCCGTGTTCACCACTTAACTCCCAGACAACTGAGGAAACTGAGTAAAGTGCGAAGGAGTCAGAACAAAGAGGAAGGCGATACCGGGCGCCTGCCGGGGGCCG